GTCCCTTCCATTCAAATATGACTTCGAAGGCAGGCAGGCAAGGTCAGGCCCTGAGGCCTGGGTAGGGAAGGGAGGTGACTCACTCCAGGTCATGCAGCTTGACAGCAGCATCGCCCAGGCCACCCTGATGTGATGCCAAGTGTCTTGGGAATTGGATTCAACTTTTTTTTTTTTTTTTTTTTGGTTGAGGAATGACCAAGTGATTTCGCTTAAATGTCCAACCGGAGGCTGTGGCTCTGGTGAGAAGAAGAGGTGGGGATCTGAGGGTGTCTGTGCGAGAGGCCCCTTTGTTGGCTCTGCATGGTGCTCACAGACTCATGGTTGGGCAGATTTCTGGATTTGGATTTTCTGGCCTGGATCTCTGTGCCCTGGACCCTGGCAGAAGATGCTTCTCTCCAGGCCCAGGGGATGATGGTTGGCAGGGAGCCAGGTTTTGTTCCCTAAATGGCATTCACATGACTTGCTGACCTCAGGGTCCTTCCCCTTTCTCTTATCTTTTTCTCCTTCACTGCATTCTGCCCTGCTTTGGTTTCCCTTCTCTATTTTCCTTTTTTCAATCTGCACAAAGCCCTTGGAGGGCTGGGGCTGACCTGGGGCCTCTTGGCTCTGGCTGAGGTTGGTTTCCAGTTCCTGGACTGTAGCCCTGGGGCTGTCTGCCTTCGAGGGCCATAGTGAGACTTGGGAGGTGGGAGGTTTGGGAGGAAGCAAGCCAGCCAGTGAGGCAGTGCCTGGAGGCTGGTCCTCTCCTGCATCCTCAGGGCAGGGCCTCTGAACCACCAAAACCGATGACAAATACCTAGTTCAGGCCACAGCCACTCCCTACCCATCCCTTACAGACATGCCTAGTTCATCCCAGATCTCTTCCTACCAGCCTCTAGATCGTTCTCAGCAGAGAATGTGGAACGGAAATGTATCACCTCTGGCTTATAGCTTCATCTTTACTTCCTGGAAGATTTTTCCACCGTGGTTCTCAACCCTGAACGCTCAGCAGAATCACCTGGGTAACTTTCCAAACAGGCTGATTTCCAGGCCCCAACCTGAGATTCAGATTTCATGGGTCTGGAGTGTGTCTGGGGATTGAGATGTTGTAAAATCTCCCTGAGTGATTCTGCTATGTGGCCAGGACTGAGAGCTACTCCAAAGTGTTGCAGAAAGAGCACAGAAGGGCAGGTGGAGGACTGAGTTCGCGTCTGGACAACCCTCAGGTGGCAGCATGTCTCTCAGCAAAGCCCCTTCCCTCTCCAGGCACTGCGCAGGCACACCTTAAGGAGAAATGACCCATTTACGGAGTTTTAGACTCAGAAAGGACCAGGAAACCAACCAAGCTATCCCCTTATCCTGCAAAACAGAAGACTGTGTCTGGAGGGGGGGGAGTAGCCAGGGTCTCACAGGGCACTGGCAGGGTTGGGGATGTGGGAAGCCAGGCTAGGCTTTGGGCTGCCGTCTCCCCCTGGCTGGGCCCCTCAGTGAGTCCTCTTTAGATTAGAATGTTGGGAACATGATGTCTCCCCACTGTTTACTCGAAAAGGAGCCTGTTCTCTCAGTGCCTGGGAGTGGGGGAGCAATGGCTAGAGTTAGAGGGTGTTGGTCTCAGCCAAACTTGGCAAGGGGACTTTCGCAGTGCCGCTGACTGTCTGCAGCTGTTTTATAGGCCCTGTGGCTCAAAAGGGGAAGTGTGGCTGCATTTAGAAAGTTGTCCACAAGGAGGAATGGTGGGGGTGGGAGTGGGGGTGGGGCTGACAAGGGTGGCCAGGCTGGGGAGCTTGGGGAGGAAGAGGGACGCAGGCAGGACCTGTGGACAGGGGTTTGATTTGGGGCCCACGTGTTGTCACTTTGGAAACTCTTGGGTTTGAGGGGATGGAGATAGGGGAGAGTGAAGGGGAGGCAGACAGAGAAGAAAGGGGGAGGTCGGGAGGGAGAAAGAGCTCCCTGCTGCGAAGCCTGGCTTTTCTTAGGTTGGAAGCAAACATGAAGTGTGCTGGGAGCATGCCCAGCCATGCCCATGCCCCAAAGGCCCAGGAAGGGGTTTCCTGTAAAGGGGAGCAGGGAGATGGTGAGAGGTGCTGGAAAGGGGAGGTTTTCTCACCATAGTCCAGCCCACAGTAGGCGATGTGAGAGGAGGAACTCTTCCTTCCCCCAGGCTATACAGAAATATCTCTGAGAGTCCATTCAGGCCATGATAACAAAATATCATGGACTGGATGGCTTATAAACAGCAGACATTTAATATCATAGACTGGATGGCTTGTAAACAGCAGACATGTGTTTCTCACAGTTCTGGAGGCTGGAAGTCCAAGATCAGGGTGCTGGCAGATTCAGCGTCTGGTGAGGGCGATCTCCTCATAACCTCACGTGGCAGAAGGGGTGAGGGGTCTGTCTCAGGGCATAATATAAGGGCACTAATCCTTTTCATGAGGGCTCCACCCCCAGGACCTAATCACCTCCTACCTCCATCACTTTGGGGGTGAGGATTTCAACATATGAATTTGGGGGGACATAAACATCTGGACAGCCTGAATGAAACGTACCATCCATATGGCCAGGAATGCATCCAACCCTTCCCAGGGCTGAGCTGGGGCTCAGGTCTCCATGATAGCAACAGGAAGATTGCTACACAAGGCTCCTAGCCCAGGGGTTGGAGGCTGGAAGACCTCAGAGGGCCTGATTGAAGATCCCCAGGCCTCAGGTTCCTGTTCCTGTTAGTGACAGGGAGATGCACCTCCCCTGCCCTATCACAAGTGCCCTGCCCCAAGCATCAGGGAGAAACATGGAGCTCCTACTGGTCGTGGGCCACACTCCCCCTGCTTCCCTCAGGCCTACTGCTCTCCCTCAGTCACTGGCACCTGCAGGGTGCTGCTCTCTGCTGCCCCCCATGCCCTAGCCTTGTTCCTATTGTGTATGTGGGGATAGAGTGATGGGGTGGTGGAGGTCGGGGGTGATGGTACCATAACTTCAATCCAGAGCTTTCCTACAGAAGATCCTGCCTTCACCAGAAAGGTGCTTTACCAAAGCTCCTCTTCCCGAAGTAGCCCCACCCAAAAGGACCATGAGAAGAGGACCTTATCCTAACTTTGATCATATTACACTGGCCATAGAGAGCTCCACCATCTTTGGTGATAGAATCAGCAGCCAGAGAGATCTGCTCTAAGAGTGGGAGTTAAAGCAGAGAGGGGAGGCTTGCATTAATTCTGAGTCTGTGGTTGAGCATCTGATGTCAGAAGCATGACTCCCAAAGAACCTGCTCAATGTACCCTGGGGAAGAAGGCAACTCAACTCAACCCAATCCAACTGAACCCAGTTCAACTCCACCCAACCCAACTCAACCCCACTCAACCCAACTCAACTAAACTCAATTAAACTCAACAAAACTCCCATTCATTCACTCTATGATGATTTAACTAGTATGTACTAGTCACCAACAATGTGTCAACCACTGTGCTAAGTGCTGGGGATGCTGAAGAGAGCAAATAAGACACAGCCCTGCCCTCATGGAGCTTCGAGTCTGATAGAGGCACTTAAGGGCACATCACAGGTGTGTGTCTCTATTAAGTTCATAGGATGGCCAAGGGAGGGTAGGGAGAGGAAAGGCCGTTACCCCTGTGGTCTCAGTGGAGGGACAATATTCAAATACACAAAACACTCAGAGAATAAGGCAATGTTTAGTAAGTCCATTGTTGACTCCGGTAACCACCAGCTGTGCTTAACCACTAACTAACCTTGAAAAAAAAACTTTTGGCTGGGCGCGGCTGCTCACCCTTGTAATCCCAGCATTTTGGGAGGCCAAGGCAGGCAGATCACTTGAGGTCAGGAGTTCAAGAGCAGCCTGCCCAACATGGTGAAACCACGTCTCTACTAAAAATACAAAAAATTAGCCAGGTGTGGTGGTGTGCACCTGTAATCCCAGTTACTTGAGAGGCTGAGGCAGGAGAATAGCTTGAACCCAGGATGCAGAGGTTGCAGTGAGCCAAGATTGTGCCACTGCACTCCAGCCTGGGTGACAGAGTGAGACTCTGTCTGGAAAAAAAAAAAAAAAAAAAAAAAACCCAAACAAAACAAAAAAATTAGTTCTGACATAAGTGTACTGGACTGGAAAATCCATGTGGACTCTGCCATCTTTCTTGGTTTCTTCTTCCATGTGGCTACCTACCCCCTTCTCTTCCTCCTTCCACTTCACTTAGAGCTAGAAACCTTACATGGCAAATGATTGGATTCTAGGTTTGATTAGATGCCTACCATTTACAAAGTGCATTGCTAGCTGCAGTAGGATTCAGAGGTAAACAACACAGGCCTTCCCCTTAAGGACGCTGAGCCTGACTTGGGTTCACAAATTGCTATGACAGAAGACAGTGAAAGAGGCATGCATCTTTGGACTGCATTTTACCAGTTCAAATGTTTTATTTTTAATAATATGAAATTCACAGATCTTAGGTGTGCATTTCCAAGCATTTTGAGTGTGAGTGTGACTGTGTGTTGCAGGGGGAAGGTAACCGGAGAGCTGAGTCCCTTCCCTGGGTATGGGATTTGTAATATCGGTGCCATGATGTTTCGGTGTGTCTGCTGCCTACTGTTTTGGTTTTTAAATTTCAAACTTCAGAAAGGTTATAAGACTATATAAGGAATTCCTATATACCCTTTCCCCAGATTCACCAATTATTTACATTTATGAAATCATTTGAGAAAAATTTAGAGACATATTGCCCCTTTACCCTTAAATATTTCAGTTTATATTTCAAGGACATTCTTTTACATAGTCTGGCTTCCTCTTAGCTGAGCCTTGGTCATCTCATTTTCAGACAGTATTGGGTCATTCTATATCTTAAGTAAAGCTGATTTAATGGGAGACAGAGCTGGATTGGTTTTCTGCTTGATGCTGTGCTGGTGGCCTGGCTGCTGGGGGCTGCCTAGGTCACAGGGTCCCCCTGGGAAAATCTGTTGACTTCCGCGGCTGTGCTTGAGTCTGCTTGTTACTGGACAGCTGGTCTGTCCCCTTAGAGGCTTGGCTGAACTCTGTGCTCTCCTTCCCTCTACTTTGTTCTCGAGTTTTCTGCACATTCTTCCACCCACAGATGTGAATGTCATGTGATGTTGGCTTTCCAGTGTCTTGCATGGCATGGTAGCAGCAGAAATGAGCTTGGCTGGGCACCCTCTCTGGGCCTTGGAGGACAGCCTGGGCTCTTCTGAAAATACAGGCAGCTTCCTTTCCCTGACTCACCTGGAGGAGCAAGGCCCTGTGGTGCGGTCTGGCTCTGAGGCCTGTGGCCCTGCTTGGGACTGGCAGTCTTAGGCTGAGAGAACATTTTCCAGAGTATAGCCGAGGGACAGAATGTCTCAGTAAGACGGGCTTGGAGGGGCAGGGTTTTGGAAAGGCCTCTGCTTGTTCTGGGAGGCGTTCAGGATGCTGAGGTTTTGGAAATTCATGGCGGCTCTTCACAACTGCTCCCAGCTTTGGGAGGAGGAATAGACGGGTGCTCTTTTCCTTGGGTTCAGTGGCAAAGGTGAAGCCCAGCACTGCCGACCTGGGACCTGGGCCTCTCCTTGGCCTGGGGAGGACACTGGACTTTGAAGAGGAATGCAGCCTAGAAGGCCTGGACCCTGGAGTCATGAGATGCTGCTCCCATCCAGTAAGCCCTGGCTGGAGCTCTGCTGGGCACTGACCCTGGCATAAAACCAGTGGGGCCTCTGGGCCTGCACTCAACCGTGCCTCTGATGGAGCAGGTAGGAGAACCCCCCGCAAATCCATGAGGCAGAGAAGAACACGCTGGAGGCATTTAACCAGGCAAACAGGTCTCCTGCAAGGAGAGGCCAGGGAAGGGAGAGCTCAGACGCCCCGAGCTGCCAGGGAATGCTTAGGGGAGGAAGTGAGGCCTGAGACCCCCTTTCTAGCACCCTCTCCCTTCTTCTGTTCTGCTTTTGTATACAACCAACATGCCCATGGTCCAGTTCCATCTCTGTTCTGTGATCTTGGACAAGTCTGTTTATCTCCTTGGGCCCATTTCCCGCCTGTGAAATGGGACGTGGAGCACTGGAGCCACCTTCCTAGGACAGTGCTGAGTGGTAACCAAATGTTGGCGGGCTTCAGAGGCCCTTGGTGAGCTTAGGAAAATGCAGATGCCTGGAAAGTTGGGAGCCTGAATCCCCGGTGGTGAGGCCCAGGCGTGTGTAGGCAATGCTTTCAACCAGCTTTCCTGGTGGTCCTTGGAGCGGAGCTGGGTTACTGTGGAGGCACCACATCCCCCGCCCCTAAATTAACTGCAGGCTCCTCGGACCCAGACTCGGGCCTTTATTCCTGGATGCATTTTTCCCGGTGTCTGGGAGGGCCTGGTACAGGTGGGGGCACCCGGGCCTGGCCACTGGGCCGTCCACCGGCCCCTCCCACCCGGGAGCCGTGCCACGGCCTGGGCAGCCTGGACACAACCCCCCTCCTTCCCTATGAGCCAGCTTCAATGCCCCGCATTACCATTTCCATGGCGCCCTCCTCCAGGGCCCCATGGAAATCACGAGGCTTTCTGAGGAGTCGTGCAGACTTCAGAAAAGACCCCGGGCCCCCTGCCCACCCCAGCTCCCTGGCCGCTCTAATCCCGCGCGGGGCGCGAGAGACAGAGCTCCCAGTCTCCTCGCGGCCCGGCCGGGCGCTCATTCTCCCACAGAGCTGACGTTTCTCTGCGGCCCAGCTGGCTGCAGTTTTTAGAAATAACAATATCCCCGGGGGGAGGAGCGGCGGGGTGAATGGGCGCCTTTGTCCCGGGCCCTGTGAAGCCCGATTAATTATGCGCGGCGGAGCGCGGGGAGCGCGGCCGCCGGGGCCCCCCCTGGGCGGCTGAAAGGCCCGGGCTTGGGAGCGCGGCCGCCGGCTCCGCGCCGCCGCACAAAGGGCCCCGAATTAGAGAAGCGGCAATTACCCCGCATTTTGTATGTGCCCTTGTCTTGCTGACACTGTGGACGGCCCCTCCCCGGGCGGCTGCACTTTGAGGATTTTCAAGCCCTTTCTTGGTTACCAGGGGCGACTGGGCAGAGGGGCTGGGGGCTTGAGGAGAGGGGGAAGCGCCAAGGGCCGAGTGGGATCGTGTGCAGTGGGGGGCGTCCCGGGGTGGGGGGCAGGGAGCGGCGTGTGGGTATCGCCCCTGGGGACCTGGGCCTCAAATCTAATGCTCTCTCCAAAGCTGGAGCCCGTTCAGCATGCAGATTCCAGGGCCTCGCCAGAGAGGACTCCCTGACTCAGTGAGTCTGGGGCGCCCAGGAAACTGCATTTTACCAGTCTAAATATTTTACTTTTAATAATATGTAACAAAATATAAGATATAACAGGGAAATTAAATACACAGATTTTTAGTGTGTAATTCCATGTCACCCACATCCCATCAAGATATAGAACAATTCCATCACTACAGAAAGTACCATGGATCCTCTTTCCAGTTTCTCGACCCCACTGCTCATCCTCCCAGGTAACTACTGCTCTGATTTCTAGCACCATTCCTAAAGTTTCATCTGTTTTTGGACTTCATGATAAATGGAGCCATACAGTATACATTTGTTTTGTTTCTGACTATTCTCATTTGGAATCATGTTTTTGAAATCCATTCACGTTGTGTGTATTAATAGTTTAGTTTCTTTCTTTTGATTAAACAGTTTTTTTGATCCATTCACCTATTGATGGACAGACACCTGGACTGTTTCTAATTTTTGGCTGTTATAAATAAAGCTGCTATGATCGTTTTGTATGAGTCTTTTTTTATGTGAACATGTGTTTTTATCTTTTGGGTAAATGTCTAGGAGTGAAATTGCTGGGTCATAGGGAAGGTATTTAGCTTTAGTAGATTCTAAAGTGGCTGTATGATTTTGCATCCACACCAGCAATATATGAGGGTTCCAGTTGTTCTACCTTTTCATTAGCACTTGATATTGTCAGTCTTTGTGATTTTAACATTCTAGTGAGTGTGAGGTGGTATCTCACTGTAGTTTTTTGGGTGGGTGATTTTAATGCATGAGTTCCAAGGATTACACTTGGAGAAAACTCCTGTCTAGTCCAATCCTTGCATTTGCCTGCAAGATCCAGCAGAGGTAATGTCCTCCCCAAGGCCCACAGCTGGTTGAGCAGAGGCAGGATAAGGACACAGGACTCCCGTCCCAAGCTAAAGCTCTCTTCTTGGTATCATGCTACCCCTTTGGCCTATACCTCCTAAGCTTGTGTGTATGAAGCATGAATGGTGCTCTGCCTAGGGCCATTCAAAGTGGACCTGGCAGGACACTTCTGAAGAGTCTCCACCTGCCACCCAAGCAGCAGCATCCATGGGACTCAGGTTGAGAGACTGGGCTTGGCCAGTTACATGTGGTGTGCACGCGAACATAGGAACAGGGGTAGGAAGCTGCTGGCTAGCTACCCTTGACTCTAACTCCCAGGACACAGACCTGGCTTTACTGCTGTCCACCACCTTGCCATACATTTGAAGAGCCAACTTACGTGAAAGCCTAAACCCTGAGAGTTCCTCTGCTTCAGGTACTCATGGGGGGCTTTGCATATTTTCTGATCAAACACAGAGAAGATGCTTGGTGGATGGGAAAAAGAGAGCAGGAGTCCTGGGGCTTCCAAAGTCTTCCTTTATCTGTAAACATTGTCCTATGTGTGCTTTTTTTTTTTTTTTTTTTTTTTTGAGATGGAGTCTCACCCTGTCACCCAGGCTGGAGTGCAATGGCGCGATCTCAGCTCACTGCAACTTCCGCCTCCTGGGTTTAAGCAATTCTCCTACCTCAGCCTCCCGAGTAGCTGGGATTATAGGCACACACCACCATGCCCAGCTAATTTTTTGTGTTTTTAGTAGAAACGGGGTTTCACCATGTTGGCCAGGCTGGTCTGGAACTCCTGACCTTGCAATCAGCCCGCCTCAGCCTCCCAAAGTGCTGGGATTACAGGCCTGAGTCACCGCACCTAACCTCTACGTGTGCTTTTTAAGACCCTCCAGAACCTGGCCTGACCTATCCTTGTTGCCTTGTTTTTTCCTGCCTTCACCTCACACGTGCTGCTCCAGTAATAGTGGACACTGGTCTATTGTTGTTCCCCCACCCCCTCCCATCCCCATCAACACAGGTGGTGGGGATTGTGTTTTCCAAAGATGACCGCACCACAATATATCTTACAACCCACATGCTCTTGCAATGTGACTGACACTCCTCCCACTGAGAGGAAGGGGGTCTCTGTTTCCTTAATCAAATTGGGATAGGGGCTTGAGACCGCTCTAACCAACAGACTATGGCAAAAGGGATGATTTTTGATGCTAAGTCATATAAAAGCTAAAACTGCCACCTAGCTCTCTCTCTCTTCTTTGGGATGTGTGCTGTAGGAATCTAGACACTGTGCTATGGAAATGCCCAAACTGGCCCACATGGAGAGACCCATGTGGAGGAGATCTGAGGCCTCCAACCTGCAACCAGGTTCAACCACTAGATTTGTGAGTGAATGAGCTTTTAGATGATTCCAAACCCCAGCCTTCAGTGCTTCCAGTGGAGGCCCCAGTCAACAGAGAGCAGAGACAAGCTCCTCCTGCTGTGCCCTGTCTGGATTCCTGACCCTGACTTGATACCAAACATAATTAAGGGTTGTTTTATGCCAATATTATGATAATTTGTTACACAGCCATAATGACTGGAACACACACAAGATTTCTTGCTTCCTCCCCATGTTAATTCATATTCCCCTTGTTCCAAGCCCAGCTCTAAGCTTAACTCTTCTCTTTCAGGTTCAGCTTGGTTGTGACCTCTGCTGGAAGCCCTCCCTGGCCCCGCTGTGCACTGAGCTGGCGGTTCCTCCTCTGTGCCCCAGGTACATGCTCAGATCTGTGTACCCTCCACCTTGTCCTCCAGCTTTGTGTTTGGATGTTCACATTCCCCATGAAAAAGGCCCCCTGAGAGCTGGCACAGTGCACGTTTCCTCTCCAGACTTCTACGAACCTGGCACATAATTGTTTGCTGAAAGATGGCATGTTCCTAAAACAGAGGAAGTGGAACCTGAATAAAGCAAAATCCAACTTCCCACTCCCTGCTCTCACTTCCTCTGGGACAGGCCTTGAGCAAGAGAGACAGAAAGAACAAGAGATGGTCTTTCCCTTTAATGGGATTTCAGTCTGATCAGGGAGATAGTAACAGAAAGACTAGATTAGACTAGTGTATGATTAAATGAGATTTGCCATCCCCAGAAGAGGGAGAGATCTGCATGGAACAGGGTGGTCAAGGCAGGCTTCCTGGAGGAGGCAACGACTTGGATTTCATAGTACCAGAGCTCCAGGATAGATCCTCCTCTGATTGAACTCCCCATTTCTTTCCCACACCCCAACCTTCCCACGTTCCCAGCTGAAGGGGTGTGTGTGTGTGTGTGTGTGTGCACATATGCATGCACACATGTACACATGTGGTTGGAAAGGGGACATTAGTATCCCTCTCCTAGGATGGAGTCTCAAGGACAGGCCCGTCATCTCCTCAGTTTGCCTCTCTCTCTCCCACTTCACCTGGGGAATGGAATAAGAATGGGATAAGTATAATACAATGGGGCGAATGCAGAACCAACTAGATGTACACCCAAAAATGTGGATGGACCTTAAAACAGTGCTGCCTGAAGAAGGCAAGAAATAGAATGAAATCTGCAGCACATCATTCATATAAACTAAAAATACATGTGCACAGAAAGGCAACTTTTTTTTTTATTTTGAGACAAAGTTTCGACTTGTCGTTCAGTCTAGAGTGCAATGGCACGATCTCGGCTCACTGCAACGTCCACCTCCTGGGTTCAAGCGATTGTCCTGCCTCAGTCTCTAGAGTAGCTGGGATTACAGGAGCCCGCCACCATGGCCAGCTAGTTTTTGTATTTTTAGTAGAGACAGAGTTTCACTATGTTGCCCAGGCTGGCCTTGAACTCCTGACCTCAGGTGATCCACCTGCCTCGGCCTCCCAAAGTGCTGAGATTACAGGCATGAGCCACTGCACCCAGTCGGCAACATATGTTTTATAGAGACACAGACAAAGATGTGATGTCAAACACACTAATGTGGTTGCCTCATTCATAGATGGGGGACTGGGCTGGTGAATGAGGATTAAAGAAATAAATAAATAAAACAAGAGAGGGTCTCTGTACAGAACGGTGATGACAGCGTGCCATCGAGGAGAATGATGAACTCAAGCTTTTGCACCTGAGGGCCAAACAAAATGTCAAAACCAAAATCACTCTTGGAAATGATGCCACCAACTTTAGGATGGCACTCATATCTGTGTGAGTGGGAGAGAGAAGGGATATGGGGCAGGGATTTGACTGTAGCTGTAATGTTTTATTCCTTTGAAAAATATAAGGTAATCTGAAGCAAAATGTTAATATCTGTTGAATCTGGGGAGAGGCTATGAGGATTTCTGTTAAACCATTTTGTGTACATTTTAAATATAGTCATGCATGGGTTAATTATGAGGAATAAGTTCTTACAGATACATTGTTAAGCAATTTTGTTATTGTGTGAACATTATCGAGTGAACTTACACAAACTTAGAATGGAATAGCTGACTACACACTTAGACTATATGGCCTAGCCTATTGCTCGAAGGCTGCAAACCCTTACTGTATGTTACTGTACTGAATAATGAAGGCAAGTGTAACACAATGGCAAGTAGTTGTGTATCTAAACATAGAAAAGGTACAGTAGAAATGCGGTATCATAGTCTTATGAGACTACTATTGTATATGCGATGCTTTGTTGACTGAAACATCATTATGTGGTTCATGACTGTATATCATAATTTAAAAAAAATATTTTAAGAGATTGCCAATCAAGACACTACAAACTAATTTTGTGGCTTTGGCCAAAATTCATTTCCTTCTTTCTTTTTTTTTGAGACAGGGATCATTCAAGCAATCCTTCTGCCTCAGCCTCCCAAGTTGGTGGGACTATAGTCATGCATGCCACCACGCTCAGCTAATTTTTTTTTTTTTAAATTATCGACTAGAGATGGGGTCTTGCTACGTTGCCCAGGCTCGTCTCAAACTTCTGAACTCAAATAATCCTCTCGCCTTGGCCTCCCAAAGTGGGATTACAGACGTGAGCCACCGTGCCTGGCCCTGGCTTAATTTTTTATTATTTTTGTAGTGACAGGGTTTTGCTATGTTGCCCAGGCTATCTTGAACTCCTGGCCTCATGTAATCCTCCTGCCTTGGCCTCCCAAAGTAGAATTCATTTCTGATGTTAGGTTGGCCTCTGAACAGTTTTACAGAGCTGAATGCTCTAGTCTTCTGTGACACGGTCTTTTTTCTTTTCTTTCTTTTTTTTTTTTTTGAGACAGAGCCTCGCTCTCTTACCCAGGCTGGAGTATAGTGGTGCAATCTCCACTCACTGCAACCTCCAGCTCCTGGGTTTAAGCAATTCTCCTGCCTCAGCCTCCCGAGTAGCTGAGACTACAGGCCTGCGCCACCATGCCAGGCTAATTTTTGTAGTTTTAGTAGAGATGGGGTTTCATCATGTGGCCAAGCTGGTCTCGAACTCCTGACCTCAAGTCATCCACTCACCTCAGTCTCCCAAAGTGCTTGGGATTACAGGCATGAGCCACCACACCCGATGACACAGTCTTAATAAGGAGAAGAATATGAAGAATTTGACTTTTTATTGATGCTAAAAGCATTAATAAACAAGAGCTTTGAAAAAATGTGGAAAATGGAAAATGTCACTGCCTGCTGTTTGTAGGGTGAAATCAAATGGCTAAACAGCTATAGGAACATTTTGTTCCCACTGGTTGGGTCAGATCAACTTCCCAGGACTTTGTGGGAAGCTCACAAATGCTAGACAATCGTACTGCACTGCTGTAGGAATTCTTGGAGGGCTGGAAGGCTCACAATTAGGGCCTTTTCTCTGGGCACCAACCTGACACCCATGGCAAGGGGGGCTGAGCAGTTGTCGATGGCATAGATGCTACATTCTGTGACTCCTCCTGGCCCTGGCCATGGCTGATTGGTATAGAGGGTCAAAGCTGGGCCAGTCAGATTATCTCTCTCGAGATTCTGGAATTCTGAACTGGGGCGGAGATGGGGAGCTGTGAGAACGCGGTTGCTTTAATGGGAATGTTCTGGTGAGGAGATGCATTGACTCCAGATGCTTACATCCTTTCCTGAGCCTCAATTGTTCAACCTTTTCTTGAAATTTAATAAATCCATTATTGTGATTTGTCAGGGCTGATTTCTATGACTTGTCCTATGGAGTAGGTTACTATATTTTTGTCTTCTCACCTTCCCCTGGTGCTGCTGTTAATACATATGGTATCTTTATTGAGTTAGTGGACAAGCAAGAAAAAGTTTTTCTTTCCTCCAGGCAGACACAGTCCCTCACCAGGGTGGAAGGTGTGGCTGGTGGAGTGCAGGCTGGGTTTCAGGCCACACTCTGCTCACTTCCTTGGCCCAGCCCTTTTGTGCAACACACAGATGACGTCTCCATTTATGGCGGTCTTACACCTGTCCACCATGTGCTTTCAGGATGATCTATCTTCTGCAGCTAAGCGTCATTCAGAATATGAAGGGATATTCCAGACAAGATTCACGGGACATGGTCTATCATGCAAGTCCCATTCTGGACTTTAAGGCTCATGACAAAGATGTTCAAAGTCAAACCTGCTCGAAGTCAAGACTTAAAGGAAATGTAGGAAAACTCTCTGGCCTGATAAAGTCCACAGAAGCCTCATCTTCTTCTGACGAATGATCTTCAGGCTTGAAAGGATGCCTTCCTCCAAACAGGCTGGCAGACATTCTTGAAATGTCAAAGGATAGGCCAGGGGTGGTGGCTCACACCTGTAATCCTAGCACTTTGGGAGGCCAAGGTGGGCTGATTGCCTGAGCTCAGTAGCTCAAGACCAGCCTGGACGATGTGGTGGAACCCCATCTCTGCTAAAATACAAAAAATTAGCCGGGCATGGTGGTGCATGCCTATAGTCCCAGCTACTCGGGAGGCAGAGGCGAAAGAATCACTTGAGCCCAGGAGGCAGAGGTTGCTGTGAGCCGAGATTGCACCACTGCATTCCAGCCTGGGTGACAGAGTGAGACTCCATTTCAAAAAAAAAAAAAAAAAAAAAGAAAGAAAGAAGGAAAGAAAGAAAGAAATGCCAAAGGATACTCCTCCATCCCCCTGTGGAAAAAACTAGTAGTGAGAACGTAAGACCAAGAGCACAGGAACAGATAACAAGGAGGTGTCTGAAGGCCACAGTGAGAGTGACATGGAAACCAGCCAAGGCACTGATGGCCATGGGAAAAAAATGATCTCAAGGAAGAGATAATTCCTTGAGAGGAGGCTGCTCCAGCTCGGATTTGTTCATTCATTTTACAGTCAGGAAGCCACTCCACCCCCAAAGAAGGTAATATGAGTCCTACTACCTTTCTGAAAGGAAGCTGGGTAAGAAAAGCAAGATGGTAACTTTCCCAAGTCAGGGAACCCCTGTCTCCCCAACTTCTGCATCATGTAGACCATTTGTGTCCACAACTTACAGGAGGCAGTGTAGACTAGCAGTTGAGAATGTGAGTCTAGAATCAGAAGGCCTGGGTTCAAACCTCAACTCCATCACTTTCCAGCTATTTGGCCTTGGACATATTACTTAAACTCTTGTGTGTTTTAAAACATGTACACAATCCTTTGACTCTCTTCCCATCAAGAAGTGGAGCCTATGTCCCCTCCCTTTGCAACTGGGTGGAAATGTGGCAGTGCCTAGACAAATAGAATGTGGCAAAAGTGGCACTGTGTAATTTCCAAGGTTAGGTTAGAAAAGACCCTGCAGCTTCTGATGATTCCTTTAGGGACACTTGTGTGGGGA